CCACCACCATCGTCATTCGGCCATCGCCATTGCCAACCACCATCCGGGCCGGCGCAGCGCGAGACTGCGCGGAAATTGTACAGATTTTTGAACCAATTAGTCGCGGTTTTAATCGCAGGAAATTGCCGTCACTTTGCCCAAAAAGCGTTTCACTTTCGCCGATCTCCTCTATCGGCATCAAATCCCCGCAGTTTCAACACGCCATACGCGATCGGTGTAACACACCCCGTCGTCCCGTACACGAATCGCATTAAAAATATATAAATTTCAGAAAATGTCGCGTTATTTATTTTATTTCAACGAAAAAAGAGCGAAAGGATTCTCTATAGACTATACAGGATACTTGAAGACTCGATAAATCTATGCAATGTGATTTAAAATAGCTCGCAACAAGGATTCTAGACTTTATAGTAGTTGGAAATTTCATAAATGTACCCCCAGGTCTTTGCGAAAATTAAAAGGACGAAGCGCGAGAACCATCGTATAATTAAGTCGTACTAAAATTCGTCGTATCTCGCGAGAGGTGAATTTTATGACTGTCCTCTCAGCTGATGTCGCTCGCCGATTGCTTCTTTATTTTTTCAAGCTATACCGACAAGTTGCACGAAACATTGTTGTAAACGTTCTGCCACACTAGATTTCTATTTTTACACGACGATTCGGTATTTCTGCCAAGTTTAACCGGGATATAATCAGAGACGTGACGCAATCTAATATCCATCTGTTCACGCGATCTTGCAGTCGCATTTATCTGACGTATGGGTTCAGGAAGCAGGTGCTATGGATATTAATAATTCTTTTTCTCATACAAAAACTTTGTCCCTTCTCTTTCTTTCTTTGCTTCTCTCTCCTTCAGCTTTTTTGTCTCCTCTTATTGATGTCTTCATTTGCGCCGTCTCTTCCCTCGCGACGCAAAAAGCGATGAAACGCGAAAATTCTCGACGCGATTGATTTACGGTTTTGCGACTAACGATAAAGGCGTAACGGCGTTACAAAAATGAAGAGAAAATTTAAATACGCCGGCTGTTGTTTTTGTTACTTCGCATCGATTACCTGACGCTTTCTGTACATTTCTGTGTGCAGCCTCCGCTTTGCGAGCGTTTTTTCGCTACGCCGTGCACGCTAATTCGTCCACTTGTTTCCTCTCGTAAAAAACAATCAAGCGCGGCCAGGTCGGGCCAACACAGTAAACCTTGATTGTAACTAATGAAGGGTAGAAAATCGACCGAAACGGCCTCTGGAGATGCAGAGGCAAAAATGATAGATCCGCCATCGAGATTACATCGCACGATCCTCTCTTTTCCCAGTTATTTCGTTCGCTTATGCATAATATCGACAAGAATCTCCAGTTCAAACTTGTAGTGGCAATTAACAATTTAATAATGAAATTCAAACTTACAGTGGCAATTAACAATTTAATAATGAATTAAATTGAATTAGCAAGTAATTTTTTTCCCTCACCCGAATATTGGATTTAAAAATAGTTTTTTTTTTCAAATGATAATATCATTGATGAAACGACTATTTTGCATTCGACAACATGACTTTAATTTTTTATTGCAAAAAATTAAAAAAATGTTGCTCATATGTTCTTTAATTAGTCACGTACTTTGATGTATTTTGCTAAAACAGAAAATTGTTTTGCGGAAAAAATTGACGCGATATACATCTCGGTAAATCGTGATAGATCGCCGTTTTCCTTAATTCGTTAATTACCTCGTTACCCGATTGACCGGTATCATTGACCGCAACTTTGTAACTTTGATAATCTTCAATCAGGAAGACTGGATATGAACCTTGTGTAAACACACATTATATACCTGATTCTCCCATCAACAGTTTAATATGCTACTCTCGCGATATATTTAACGTTCTTTTTTGTTCCCGAAGTTATATATGGTGATTCTAGATTTTTTTTCTAGTGCATAAAACAATTTTCTTCATAAATATTACATGAGGAACGATAGGATGCGGAGACTTCATTTGGTAATTAGTACAAAATATAACTACATATAAAGAAGATGGTCGGTTTTAATAATGTAATCGTGACTATTTTAAATATTAACTCATAATTACCAAGTAAATTAGTAATAACGCTAGTTATTAACTTCTTCACCAACCAATGATAACACCTAATTATAAATATACAAGTAACACCGCCGTATGGAAAGGGATACTCGTTCATAGTAATCTATTCTCCTTATCGAGCCATCAACAAAACATAACTGCTCATTAAGTACTCATGTGCGCCGACAGCAATTAAAATCTTGTATGCGCGACTCCCGGAAATGCGTAAAGCAATTTACGAGCGCGAGTTCTTAAAGCTGGAAACGGAAGACGCGCACAAGTGCATTATTTCGATTGTTATGGCCTCTAAAAGTCTATACCTTTCTAAACAAAATACTTTGATCTCATTAAAACCTTGACCTGACTCGAAATATCATCGTGGATTTAACCAACGTTTCGGAAAATGAGGAACGAGGGTGAATCTTGACGCGACTTTTACGCGATTACTGTTTTGAGCGTGAAAATTAGCGCGGACGCGACAATCAACGAGAGCTTTCGGGATGGTCGACGCATGATATTGAAGCGATGTCGGGTCACTATTAGCCGGATTTTATTGGTACACGAGCCAGCCGTGTGCCGGCTGACCTACGACCGCTAACAGTTAATCAATGCTTTTATGAGCATTCGCTTGGCAGTACACCGTCGTTTCAAGCCGCGGCCCGAACCCACCCGCCCAACCGACCGACCAACCAACCACCCACCTATCCAGCCACCCAACGAGCACGACACGCTTTCCACTCTTCTCTCTCTCTCTCTTTCTCTCTCTTTTTTGCACATGTGTGTACGTCCCATGCTCTTCGAGCAGCTACCCGAAATTTGCGCTGCTACCACACCGAAGCATCGCTATCCGTTAAACGACCAAACGATTACACCTGGTCGACACAATGTATCAGTTATAATGCGCGGGCATCGTAGATGAAATCGATCTACATTCGACGAGTGCTCTCTTGAGGAGAAATCGAAATTATTTATTAACGGCAAATTCGATCATATTTAAGCTAATGTTCGTCCAAACCGGCCGGATAATTGACTTAGCTCGAGCGCTAATAAACAATTCGATATATGCATTAGGTCATGTAATATAAATTGCGCCGGGTCAATTTGATTAATGATACCTCCGCGATTGATGCATTAAATGATTAGGGCGGAATTCCGTTAACTATTTCGGAAAATTATACATCTAAATCACCGTAAAAAAAAGTGTTTGATAAATAAATGGAATAAAGTAAGTTTGACAGATATGCTTGCAACCTCATCCCATCATGCGAAACCTTCATCTCCCTTCCTCCCCTACGGCCCATCTATGGCTATTTATTTTTCTCATCGCTTTTAATTTCGTAGAGAGATAACGCATGCGTATCGGGTGCGATGAGGGTTCTCTCGCTCGTATATATAATGTCGATCCATTGTGCTCTCGAATGCGATCAGAGAGATCTCGCTATTGAGTTTATTAATTGCGTTATATGAAAAGCGCCGCGAAATTGAAAAAAAAAATCGTCGATCTGCGAAATTTCGTCCTTCTCTCGCTTTCTTTCACGCCTGATCTTACGCGATTCCGCGATCGGGGGAGATTTCATCCCTTTAAATCGTCCCTCTCAGAGAGCATTACACCGAATATGTTTCAGGCGAACAGATCGAGCGCAATCGGGCAGGTGAGAGGCAAGAGCGACGGAGACGGGGAGGGGAGCGCCGGCTCCAATCGTAAAACAATTATACAATTACCGCACGGCCGTAATTAATTACCGACCGTTTCAACATTTACCCCGACGAGAGAGCAGAGCGAGAGAGGCCGGGCTGCAGGCGCGGGACCGCGCCAACGCGGCATTAATTCATTAACGTTGCACCGTGAAACGTATTTGCTCGTAAAATTGGTCGGCCGGCGTGTTCGCGATTATTTGCTTAAACAATTTCCGAACGTCGATCGACGCCGCCGCCGTATGACGTGATTTAACGATTTCCTTCTCTCGACGTTCACGGCAATAACGTTCTCTTTCCCTCTCTCTCTCCCTCTCTCTCTCTCTTTCTCTCTGTCGTTCTATGTGTGTCCCCCGATGATAATACATCTGCGAAATAAGCGCATCCCAACGAACACCCTTCAAAGCGCTATCGAAGAGCACAAAGAGTCCGCGCAAATAAACCAATGAATATTGTATGCGCATTTATCGATCTTCCGGATGCTTTCGACGAGGGATAAATATCGCGCAAGGTTCAACCAAAGTCGCGCGAGATTATATTATTAATCGCGTTGTGTGCGTTATTAGTAATAGTAAATATTATTAATAATTAATAGAAATATATCAATGATGGATAATTGATTAATTACGGCAAACAGCGATACGATGGTACGCACGAGGAAAATGGAGAATAATGGAGGAACTTGCTCCATTCGCGGAATGTCAAGACGGTATAAGCGAGCATATATAACGTGTACAATTCGCGTAAAGGGATATCGACGATATATCGATGCCGATATTCCCGGTATCGGTGACCGCGCCACCGCAGGCCGCAACACGACGGTGCAGTCGCAGTTAATTTGCTCACTCCAAGTGTGTTTGATTCCTCTAATTAATTGATCGGTAGGGTCACCGTGTATACCGGAACGCATGTACGGATGGCAGTAATCAAGCGCGTGGGTTTCGCTTGCGTACGTTTATTTGCACGTGTACGCGCTCTATTTGACATAACGGTTTGTGCGCTTAATTTTTTTTTTGCAAAAATAAAAAGTACCGATCGAAAAAACTCGAAAATTAATCTCGAAAAAGACACGTCGCGCGCTCGAATTAAATTGCAATGACAATAGAACGATTGCAATTTTTTGCAACAAAAACCTTTTCAGTTATAAATATTTTTACTCTAGAGCGATATGAAATATAAATATTTGACACTATTTTTGAAGATCTTTACACGAAGTAATCTTTTGTGCAGGCACTCACCGAGGTGTCCGTTCTCGTAGTAATCGCCGTTGTCCATCCTGTGCTTCTTCAGGGAATGCTGAGGATGATGGCCAGCCGCCGCAGCTAGGTGGCTGGCCGCGAGGCTCAGTCCAACGGAAGCTCGCTTTGGGGGTCTTCCTGGCCTGGAGCTGTACAGTGAGAGAGAGTTACTGTGGTTAGAGACACCTGTCATCGAGGTAATGTCTTACCCCGATCGTTGTGGCCGCGATATTCATCGCGGCCGATTATCTGCTGGAATTTCAGAAGGAAATATCAGCGCAAACAAGTCTCTCTCGATTCATTTGTGCGATTGCGATCTGCTCAGCTGATTGGGGCTCGCGAAAAATGCGAGAATCGAAACTGCGAGTTATTAGTGATAATTGTAAACTGCGCGAATCCAAACTGCCACGCGGCACGAAATGTATGCTTTAACGATTGTGTGCGTTTGCTGATATTTCTCCATTAAGAATAAGTTTGACTTGCAACGCCTCGAGTGGATCTCGAATTTAGATTTAGAGATTATTGTGAGAGGAGAAATCTCACGAAGAAAAAGCCACGCAAACTATTAGAGAAACACCCGGCTTACTAGCTGAGGAACCAATTTGAAAACGTTAAGGGCTAATCTACGTAGATCGTGCGAACGTTTCGAGAGCAGACTCTTACGTGACTAGGGAAAAATGAAAATCATCATCCAGAAAAATAACGCTGGGCTTTTCTTGTGTATAAATCATATAATTCTCCATATATTAAATTAAATGAACAATCTGACGCGAATAGCAGATTGTGTACAACTTCTATTTTTAATATTTATTGATCAAAAAATATTAGTGTACTTAATTTCTCGATATTACATATATAAAATATTTATATATTAATATTTATATATTGTATATATATAAATATATATATATATATATATATATTTTTTTTTAATGTAGATATTTTGAAATAGGCTTGAAAGTTCATAAAAATTATACACATAATTTTGCATAATATTTAAATATTGATATTACTATAAATATAATATATATATATATATATATATATATATATATATATATTATATTATATCATATTATATTATATTATGTTATATTAATATTTATATTTATACTTATTAAATATTTATATATATTAAATATTATGCAAAATTATGTGTATAATTTTTACGAAACTTTCAAGCCTATTTCAAAATATCTTTACATTTTTTAAAAAATCTCGCAATTTGCAGCTTTTTATAGAGACTCATGCTTTAAAATCAAGTACGAGTGGCCGGTCTTTTCTTTTGATGAGCGTCACTGGCACCTTTCGAGCTTTGTCGGCGGCGAAGCAGACAAGAAAGATCTCCGTTGAAACAATCTGTACGATAGTGGCGATGATACCGGCGCAGGAGGGAGGGAGGTTCATTTTTCATAGGCGGTAGGCGCCAGAGAGGCGCTCACACATACAAGCATATATGTATCACACACACACACGTAGCTTTTACGCGAGCATGCACACTATTCTGCGACACGACGTACGAAATACAGAGCCGCCTTTTACTTTAGCAAGGAAATACCTATTACCTTCTTTACTCTCGAATAGCATTCTTAACACATTTCCACACGATCAAAGTATCAAATATTGTACTCGATTACTCCAATTAAATTGGAGGAATAAATGATGCGCGTTTCTCGAGATTCAAGATGGTCTTCTTAATTTGTACAAGCTTTATAGGATCGTGGGCGACTGTATTTTCAGAGAGAGAGGTAGGATCATTAGAGAATAACGAGGCAGAGGCTGAGCACCACTAACCGGTAAGCGAGCAATCTCATAGTAGTCAAGACAGATTTGTAAATCTAATTTTTCATCCCGTCTTTCTGCCCTCTCATTTTGCCTCTTCGCCAGAATCTTGCTCTCTCTCTCCTTCTCTCTTTCCTCCTCGCTCTGTCCCGTCAACGTTCTTTTTCGCCTTGCTACTTGTCTCTCGCTCTCTATCCCTTTTTCACTGCCGCCTCTCACGCACGGGATCCCCAGACGATTCTCAGACGGTCGGTTTATACGGCGTTGATCTCTTAAACCGCTTAGCTTCAGGTTACACCGAAAACACGAGCGCACTTTCTGAGCGCTTAGACTCCGCATAATGCGCATTTGTTTGCGTACCGCACCATCAGCGAAATAAGAAAAGGCGCCAACTGCAAGTCGCGGTCATCCTCTCGATGAAATCCAAGACGCGAGCGGATTCAAGCGATATGCAGGTCCCTCAAAGATTACATATATTATCTGCACATATATTATCTGTGGATATACATTATGACGAAACAATGACGAGATGGACGTGAATCAGGCCATTGACCAAGGGATCAAGAGATCACTGATAATCGCACGTTGCGGCAATAATGTTCAACTAGGATTCATTTGATTTTACATCGAGAAAATTAAAGTTTCCAAGCAAATGCAAATCAGCTGATAATTTGCCTACGTCAACCGCATCAATTGTAATATTACTTCATCGGCAAATCTCGTAATGTTTGACATTTATCATCATGCGAAATAAAAAATACTGTAAAACGGCCGGTATTTCTTTTTTCAAAATTATAATAACTTTCTCGTCCAAAAAAACATCATACACAGAAAAAAAATAAGTGTCAAATCAAAACTTATATACTTAAACTAACGCGTTCATTGTATATATGTAACAATTTATAATCTTCTTGAAAAAATTTAATAATTTTAAATTTCAACAATATTACAGTCTTATTTTATTATTGCATTTGTCCTTAAGAATATATAATTATTTAATTCTATTTTAAGAAAATTATAATCTTTGATTTAAAAATGTTATTTTCTATTTAACATTGTTTCTTTTCCATTCAAGAAAATTATATCTTAACTCATAAGAATATAGTTTTCTCGATTGAACTATATAAAATGGCTTTATTCAAATAAGCGATTATTTAAGCAATTATATTTCTTTTTAATTAAACGCAATATAATCTCATTTCAAGATTTCCAGGTTAAAACTAAATATATTTTCAAAATAAGAATATCTTTTTTTTCTGTATAAGATTCATTTGATTTTACTTTGAGAAAATTAAAATCTCCAAGCAAATGCAAATCAGCTGATAATCTGTCCACGTCAACCGCATCAATTGTAATATCACTTCATCGGCAAATCTCGTAATGTTTGACATTTATCATCATTCGAAATAAAAAATATTGTAAAACGGCCGATATTTCTTTTTTCAAAACTATCATGACACAATTTTCTTGTCAAAAAAACACATCCTGATGATATTTTCGCAAGATCGCAAATAATTATCGATCAAGTGCTTTTAATTTAATGCTCTTCCATCGTAAGAAAACTTTCGGATAATTATACAGGCTGAGCCACGGCAATGGTCCCTCTTTGGACGTTGTCTCCGCGAAGATCGTGGCGATCGAGACAGTATTTACGAGTGCACGGCGTATCGCGCGAATTATATATACGAGCAGGCCGCAATTAGAGCGGTTTAATCGTAACGAGCGATCGAAGATCGAATGCTTCGCCGACGCTTCTCCGTGCGACTCTTGTCGCGTGATTTATGCAGCCGGAATAAGACTGACGCGTTATTATTTTTCGCAAAACGAGTATAGTTCTCGGTCGGCCGAAAACGGTTCGACGGCTGGAAATTATCGCCCGAACGATCGTTTTGTACATTATTCGGCGCGGTGCGATCGATCGATTAGATTCGGCCGCGCACACTTCTATATCGTACTTGGCCGGGTTCTCATTCGGAATTGCGTGTGGGCATTAAGAGTTGCCGATGATCGGGCCAGGTGCTATGCCCCGATGCCGATCGTTCCCCGCCCTAATGATCGTTGCACCTACGGTGGAGAACCAGATCGCTGGAAAGAGACAGACGAGTCGGCGAGAGGAGAAGAAGGGATCGGAGAGATGTGTGGAAAAAGAATAGGCAACACGAAATGCGAATGCATGTGAGAGATGGAGAGAAGGACCGATCGCGCGGTGCGACTCGCGGAGAATTACATGGCTTTCGTAAGCGATGGGGCGTTTAACGATCTATCGACTTCGAGGAGTCTTTAGTTCTTTCAACCGTTTCCCCCTCGCCCCCGTGCATCCGTATCCGGTGCACTCGGCAAAAAACTCTCGGCGCAACAAAACGCAGCGAGAAAGGCCGATCGAATCGAATCGATCGAGTCGAATTCACGATGCGAATTCGCTAGAAAGGTGTCGGGAGACTCGGAGATCCGCAGGTGGAATTGACTGCGTCTTAATACGTATTAAACCAGCGGCGGGATTCGGACGGAAGAATTCGCGAAATCGAGCGTAAAAAAAGGAGAGGGGAAAAAGAACGAAGCGATCGCGCCGACGATGATAAACGGGATAGAGATCGAGCACGCATTTAGCTTACGTACATGGAAGTGGTACTCGCTTAGATCGCCGATCCGATATTAGCCTTAAGTAGATGAGCGCGCGGTGTGATTTATAGCGGGTACCTTAATTGTCTTAATTATGCGGCAGCCGCTTCCGTGGAAAGCGCTCTGCGCAATCGACCTCGATGTAATTTAACGTGAGCGTTTTCTCGCGATTCCTGGCTGCATCTGACAGCTCGCGCGCCCATTACGATAAATTCTGACGATAAACCACTATAATTTCCCGTTAAGATCAACGTGCGAGAGAGACACGCATTGTGTGTAAGTGTACACAGAAAAAAAAGGAATTCTTATTTTGAAAATATATTTAGTTTTAACATGGAAATCTTGAAATGAGATTATATTGCGTTAGTTAAAGAGAAATATAATTGCTTGAATAATTGCTTACTTGAATGAAGCCATTTTATATAGTTCAATCGAGAAAAAAACATTTTTATGATTTAAGATTTAATTTTCTTGAATGAAAAAGAAACAATGTTAGATAGAAAATAACATTTTTAAATCAAAGATTATAATTTTCTTAAAGTAGAATTAAATAATTATATATTCTTGAGATGACAATTGCGATATTAAAATAATTAAAATAATACTGCTGAAATTTAAAATTATTAAATTCTTCCAAGAAGATTAATTGTTGTGCATACGAAACAATGAACGTATTAGTTTAAGCAGATAAGTTTTGATTTGACACTTATTTTTTCTGTGTATGTGTCGCTCAAATTTCCCTCCTTCC